AGACAGTTATAGTTCCAGATTTTCTTTACTTTTTAAAATATGTATTAATAGAATTTAATTAAAATACAATCCCAGTGATCACAGTTAATCACAGTACAATCCTTAGATCCAGAGAGGCTAAGTAACTAGAACAGCTCTAGGGAAGTGTGTTGATAACTTCCTTGTACAAATTCAGCATGTCTGAAGAAAAAAGATGGAGCTTGCCCCTAGCAAGGGAAGGGGTCTAGAGGTCTGTACAGAAGGCTGGCTGAAACAGGAAATGAAATGGGTGCAATGAGATAGAAGTATGATGGCTAAGGAGAGAGGGGATATAAGCAAAAAGAAACAGAAACTCGCACTTTTCCACTTGGAAACTAGTGAGATAAAGGTGGCTTTGGCTTAAACTTTCTCTATGATTTCTCAGCATTTTCCTCTATATCTTACTCCAAGTTTTCATTATTTTAGAGCAAATAAGAACTCTATTTACAGGGGAGATACATGGATCTCTCTGTGTATAAAATTGAGATTTTCTGGATGCAATGATGGCAGGTAGGGATGTGACCAGAAAAGAACAGGTGAGTAAGGACGGGGCAGAGGGGAAGAAGATGGGAGAGATGTCTGCAATGGGGGAAGTTTTAACAGGCTTTGTGGAAATAGTGCAATGAGAATTTCCCAGAACCTGTAAGGGTGAGTCCTTAGTGAGGACTCCTAGTAGACAACAATAATGAAGCTGAACCAGCCATCTTCTATAACCACATAAAACTCCCAATATTGGTTTGGGACACCAAGGCAGCCACAAAATTTTAGAACCACACTTTTCCTGCCTGCAAAACATTCTGGTGCAATGGTGGATCAGAGCTTCTGCAGTGTTCAACAAATGACTGCTTACAGTTGAAGCTCTAGCTCTGAGAGGAAAACCATGCCTGATAGTACCTGAACAGCCAAGGAATAAGAACTTGAATGGCTTAGAAAACTATGGTAGAACAAAATAAAATTGACCAAGAAATAAGTCAATGAAAGGATTCATATGTATATTCTGCTATAATCACAAATTGGTGCTTAGCCCAATTGTCAT